CAAGGATCTCTTAGTCATGATAATATTGGTCGTTGATATCGCGGTCGTGGATATTATCCTCGACGGTCGAGGGTGTGGAATTTTTTTTACCAAACAGCAACTAGAGTTGGAGAAAATTTAAATTGGAAGAGGATGTTTTTGATAAGTGGTTTATAACTTAGGCAGAGGAGGAACACCCATAACTTTGGTAGTTATGGTCAGACCACTAGAAATGATGAGATCATCAAGGCTCACAAAAGATGGAGTAAAAGCCTTTTTTTGCTGGAAAACCATCATCTGACCCATAATCTGAAAACCCACCAAGTAAAACTCCTTTTTGCTTGAAGGTGTGACGAAGCAACTAAGGTTGGATGGTTAAGTAAGAAATTGATACAGAACCTACAGGAGCAGTCTCTAGGAGTGATGGGACCGTAAGGGAGCGAGGGTTCAGAGATGAGGGTGGTCGTTGAGGTTGGGATCGAGTAGAGGAGAGGGCGGTTTTCTAGATGAGTGTCTTTTCATCAAAGGGTAGGCAAGTAATTCTTTTGTCTCGATGAGGACAAGAGACGCTGCTTGGATGTGCGAATAAGTGAGGAGCTTTTTCACTAAGCCACAAGGAAACAACTCAATATAGTTATGCCGATAAACCCATTGAAATATGAAGCTCATTAAGTCAAAAATAACAACGCTTAAGCTAACTGAAGAACATATAATTTCAAAAAATTTACGTTCAACTTTTCAATTTCTATAATATCATATAATCCAATTGCTATCAGACGATTAATAACCTTTTTTTTTATCTCTAGATACTATTTCTTTCTTGTTTTCAATATGGATAAATTTGGTTCGATTTATTCGTTAAATTTTATTTTTTCTGATTGATATATTAGAACATCTTCAATAGGTATGATATATTTTCTTTTCTTTTTGAAATTAAGAGATTTTTTAATTCTCTCTCATTTTTTTTTTCTATTTTAATAAAGTGTTAGCTAATCAGACGCGAGTCTCTCTTCAAAACAGATTCTTCTTTTTGCTCGTTAGCCTACGAGGTATTAGCGGTCGTTTCCAAAAATAACTTTGGAGTAAATATTTTCTAAATTTAAAAAAAAAAATTAAAATAATAATTCTAAAAGGTTATTAACGTTTCAAGAGGGATAAAAACGATGACATGTTGGTTTTATCTAAAAGGAAAAAAGAAAACAAAATGTATGATGAGTCAGCTCAAATATATCATCATGTGGGTCCCGCATTCTGTTTTAAAGTTTATATTAAAAATAAAAATAAAAATAAAATTGTGAACCTATTATTCTAAATTAGAAGCGTACTCGCGCAATACAGCGAAATAAATCGTGATTTTAGTATTTCATTTTATTCTTTATCTCAGTCGATGTTATAATATGGTTTTATGTGATTTTGAGTTAACGATGATGTTTTTATTTTTGAATAAAATATATGTTTGAAGATATCATAAAATTTTGACAAAAATATATCGATATTAGTATCAAATTAACTATTT